TTTTTTTTTGCATTGCATCAAAATTTAAAATTAAATAAAACTTCAACAAATTCCATACAAAAACGAAAAAAAAAGCAAAAAAAAATAATTAAAAATAAAATTATAAACATAAATAAATTGGAAAATTTATTAAATCTTAGCAATTAAAAATTTCAATTGTGATTTAAATTAATAGATTAATTGAATTTTTAACGAAATTTTTGCATTTATTTACACCAATTTTCTGCATAAACATTAAATATTTAAAAAAATTTAATTTACTGATATTATCAAAATTAAACAATTATTAATTAGTGCTATTAATTATGGAACTATTAAAGTAATAGTAAAACTTTGAAAAAAAAGGAATTGAATTAAAAGATATGTAGACTTTTGGTATATGAAATTGTGAAAAAAAACAAAGTATCCAATTGAATAATTAAATTTATTTGAAATTTTCGAATTATAATTTCCTTTTTTTTTTTCTAGACTATTTTAAATTCAATGCATAAATATCAACCACGGTTACATGTTGTCCGGTGTGCAGAACTTATTAATTTACCATATTCAACATTTCGTACATTTGTTTTCAAGGAGACTGAATTCATCGCTGTTACTGCATATCAAAATGAAAAGGTTTGTTTCAATGTATATGTTAATTTCATAATAGTAATTAAAATAAAAATTTAAATTAATTATTGAATTAAATTTATTTACTTTCATTCTTTTTTCCAATTGAATTAATTAATTTATTTTCATTCATTCTTCTATTCACTTCTCAAATTTTTATATTTTATAATTAGTTTGCATTTTTAATTTATAATTAATTAAAATCAAAATTAAGCTTTTTTTTCCTCCTTAATTTTTAACAATTGCATACAGTAATCTGCTAAAATTTTCAAGTTCCTTTTAATTCACATAAAGATATGCGTGTATACGTGTCTGTGTCTGTGTGTCCGTGTCTGTGTGTCTGTGTGATAATCGTTTTGATTGATAGATCAGTGACAATTTTTCTTTTTTTTTTTATGTAATTGTGTATGCGTGTGTATGTGTGTGTATGTGTGTGTCTGCGTGTATATGTGTGGGTACGTGTGTGTGTGTGTGTGTGTGCGTTATGTGTGTGTATGTGTGTGTATGTGTGTGTATGTGTGTGTGTGTGATTTCCAATTTATTGTTAAACATTTTTTTTCTAGAAAATAAAATAATACCATTGATCCATCTATTAGTTATATCCATTCATCAATCATTACTATCTTCTTCCATTTTTCATTTGTCCTAATTTACCGTATAATTTTTTTTATTAATTTATTTTTTTTTTTTAACATTTCATCAATTGATACTATTTTTTTTTTTAATTTCTGCATCAATTTTTTATTGCTATGCTTTTAATAGGCATAGAATAGGAACAACAATTAATTAACCACTTGCTGTACATGCTTAATTAATTATCTCATATTACAACAACACACTAATTACTCTCCTGCATCATTTTGCATTTATTTTGAGTGCTAGGAAATATGCAAATCTATAATTGGATATTTTACCACCATTCGCTCGATTTATAACCTTTTATTACTATAGTGGAATATTTTAGCTATTGTAATATTATTTCTAATGCAACTACCGTAGGTTAATATGCTTGACAAGGCAAGCAAGCTAATGAACTTGAAATAATTCGTTGAATTTAATAAGAAAAAATATTACCTCTTCCAAGCATCCATAAAGATCAAATCAAAAAAAATTAAACCTAAAAAGTTCTATAACTTTAATATACAACTACTGTAATGTTTAAATTCAATTCGGCTACGATATAACATACCTAAAATGGAAAGAATAAAAAAAAAACGAAACAAAAAAAAGAACGAAAAGTATATGAATTTTCGAAATTATTTTCAAACTTAAAATCAATATAGCTTGATTTTAGTAGTATTTTGTCATTTAATTTTAGTATTTTATAATTTTTAATTAATACAAGTAATTCATCTGTTCATACGGTCAAGCTAATATTTGCATAAACATCACTTTTTTTAATATCTTTTAATAATATCGAAATAACTCCAACCGG